ACACGCGAGAACGCGAAAACCACAGACACACACAAGGCCAATCCATGATTTTTGCCTCTTTAGGCCCTCTCAGGGGTCCTGTCGGGGCGTTCTTGGTGATTCGTTGGGGCCTCTTGGGCCGTCTGGGGGCCATCTTTGGCGTCTTGTAGGCGCTCTTGGACTGTCTTGGAGGCCTCGTGGGCCCTCTTGGGCGCTTTCTGGCGCCCTCTTGGCCCGGCTTGGGGCCCTTTGGCTTCTGGCCTCTGGAGAAGTCACGCGGGACAGTCCAGGAACGCGCGGGAACGCCTGGGAAATTTGAATTTTGGTCCCCAGTCTTTCGACGACTGTAATCACAGAGTCCTGAGCACAGAGAACAGGGATCCCTTGAGGACCTGAGGACACTCCACTTCGTGCCTCGAGGCACGATGGCGGATAAAGCCTATTGGATGTTCGTTGGGATCTCGTGGGAGGCATCTCGGAGGCTTCTTGGAGGTAGTTTGGAGTTCTCGTGGGGGCCGATTGGGGGCCTCTTGTGGCCTCTTGGGGCCTCTGTTGGGCCTTTGGGGGGCCTCCAGGGGGCCTCTTGAGGGCTCTCTGGGGGCCTCTTGGGGCCTCCTGTGTGCCTCGTGGGGCCTGAGAGCTCCTTGGGGCGGAAGGCTATGATTTTCGGTTCGCGTTCCCTCTCTTGGACCCGTTTTGGGGCCGTCTTGGGGCCCTCTTGGTGCCTCTTGGGCGCCTCGTGGCCCCTTTGGGGCGGTCTTGGGCCGTCTTGGGCGCTTCTTGGGCCGTATTGGGGCGCACTTGGACCGTTTTGGGGCCCTCGTGGAGACCTCTTAGGCAGTTTTGGGTGGTCTTGGGGGCCTCTTGGGCCGTCTTGGAACGTCTGAAAGCCGAGGAGGCGAGAACGCCCAAATCATGCAACAACCCAAGGGGCAACGACGTTTGCCTCTTGAGGCCCTCTTGGGAGGCCTCTTGGAGGCCCCCTGGGGCGTCTTGGAGGCCTCTTGGGCCATCTTGAGGCCAATTTGGGCGTCTTGCGCCTTCGTGGCCCATCTCTGGGCCCTCTGGGATCCAGAAATGTCATGCGGCACCACTTCCCGGAGCCCATGGGGAGCCGCGAGAAGCCCCAGGAGATTTGGACCGACGGGCTCCGAAGCCGCTACAAGCTTTTCAGGAGTGGGGGCTGAGGCTTAGAAAGGGGCAGTGAGAGGACCTCAGGGCACGCGTGGCAGATATATGCGTGCGTATACAATCATATGTCTATGTCTGAGTATGTGCATGTTGTATGTATTGGTGGTGGGATCAATACGTACATACATGCATATACATCGATATGTAGTCAGACCGATTGGTCGCATAACCTATTGATAGTTCAACAGTTGGATCGATGGGCCGACAGTGTAAGACCGATACTTTGGGATGTATGTAGATGGATACCGAGGTCGCAGATCGATATATCATGGACCCAATCCGCCAGCAATCGTGCTCCGAAAGTTGCAACAATCCCCCTCCCACCCATACCACCCCATCACCCAAATATTGGTCTTACAGGCGTGTGTTCAATTAGAGTGGTGAAGCCATTGGACCAAGGTGAATGGCGTCTTCAAGCCCCGAGGAGTCCTCTGAAGCCAAATGGGCCTTCCAACCTTCTTCCGAGTAGTCGGGAATTGCCTATTCATTGAGCTCTGCCTGCGACTACGAGTGTGGGGCGGCAGTTGCTGTCCAAGCCACACGGATGTGGGAGGAGAAGAAGGAGAAGGGAGCTGCCACCATCAGCTTACCCTCTCGCTCCCCCTTGAATCTCCGCCATTCGTACGGTCCTTCTTCTCTCATCCTCTTGGTTTTGTTTACCCTCCCCCGGGACAGGCTGGGAGGAGGACCATCGAGGGCATCGCATCGCTCGACACTGTCCGCAGCTCAAAGCGCGAAGAAGGAGGGCTCTCCCTCCCGCCGTCGCGCTCGTCGGCCCCTCCAACGGCCGGACCGAGCCGTTTTCCAATTGCCCCACTCGCCGCACACTTCGATGATGTGTGCGTGAGGGGGGGGGAGGGGGGGGGGGGGCGACAGCTGAACTCTTCCAGATGACAAAGGCTGCCAGCGTCAGCGTCATGAGGATGAGGCAGCAGGGAGGAGACAGGAAGGGTAATGGAGAAATATGGAGGAGGGAGGAAGGAGGAGGAATGGGGAGCAGGAGGAGGGCTGTTCAGGTACACAGGCTGAATACTATTCTCCTCTCTCCCCCGACGACGTGCTGACAGTGGCCGCCCCCCTCCGCGTATTGCTCGTTACACACAGGGCTGGACCTAAACGTTGTTTTGCTGGACTTCGGCTGTGTCTTGTGTTTCGCTTTGCCAGGGAGGTCAGGAAAACAAGTAGGACAACACGAACAACAAAACGAACACACAACGAACAACATCGTTCAGGTCCAGCCCATTTTGCACACATGATGTGGGCGAGTTGGTCTTTCTTGTGTGTGTTCCCCTATCCGATCGGCTGCGCTCCTTGGAAACCGGCGTTCCCGCTGCAGCCTTAGCTCCATTCGTGGAGTGGCGCCTTGCTCCCGTCGTTCAGAATGGCGCTCTCGCCAGAGCGCGGGCCACATGTCTGGATCCGAGCGATTCCTCGTCATTGTCGACGCCTTCGTTTCCCCTGCCCCGCCTTCCCCTCGTCCTCCTGCTCCTCCTGCTTCTCCTGCTCCTGCTGCTGCAGTTCCTCCTCGTCATCCGCCTTCCTCATGTTCCTCCAATTCCTCCTCCTCCTCCTCCTCCTCCTCCTCCTCCTCCTCATCCCCAAGGTGGCGGCTCGAACGGGCACAGCTGCCCGAGAGCCCGCCCTCAGCGCCGAGGGCGCGCCCGAAGCAGTGACGAGGTGACGGCCTGCCGTGGGCGCCGATGGCCGAGCACTCGAGTGCGCCCCTGGCAGTGGAGTGGCGCCTGAGCAGGAGCCAGCGGCGCGCGTGGTGGCGGCTGCGCCAGACAACCTGCAGACAGGTTGCACTGGACTTCGGAGTCTGGCTGGACCCGCTCGATTGCGGGGGCATCGAGTCCGCCCGACACATGGAGCAAGGGTTGCAGGAGCCAGAGACTCCATCAGCTACAGCGTGCCGGCTTCAAGAAACCTGGCGGCATGTGGGAGGCAAAGCCGGATCCCGACAGCATCGCAAGCCTGAGCACTTGGATCAGCGCGTGCCCATACCGGCACGTGATGCGCCGTTCGGGAACTGCGCTAATGGTGCAACGGGGGAGGCGAAGCCGCAGGCCAACGTCATGAGGTGTACATGCGAAGCGAAAGAGTGCGGGACATGCGAGAGGAGCGCAACAGGGGAGGCGAAGCCGGGCTCCAGCGGAGCTGATGGGCACCCGCTGCAGCCCCGGGGGAAGCGCGTCCGAGAAATGCGTAATGGGGAAGGCGCTGCTAGTGATTGGCTTGTTTTCCACCACCACCACCATAAGTTGGAGGGGGAGGGGGTCCTCCTCCTCCTCTTCTTCGTCCTCCTTCTCCTCGTCCTCCTCCTCCTCCCCCCTCCAACTTATGGTGGTGGTGGTGGAAAACACGCCCATCAGCTAGAGCCCGGCGTCATCGAAAGCATCAGCACTCAGAGCAGCGCGTGCGAGAAGGGAGTGCAGGGACGGCAGTCTCGAGAGAGCAGTGCGACCCGCGGCGAGAAGTGTGAGAAATGCGAGAAGGGTGCAACGGGGGAGGCGAAGCAGAACCCAAACGTCATCAGCTACACCAGCAAGGGAGGTGCTTGCAAAATTGCCAGTGGAGACGGGCAGTGGCGGTCTCAAGAAGGAACGGACAGTACGTGCGAGACTGGCGAGCAGTAGCAGTTTCAAGAGGACAGCGTCGGTGCGTGCGAGAAGAAAGAGCAGTGACAGCCTTTCGTGGGAGCGAACAGTGCGTGCGAGAAAGACGGGCAGTGCCAGCTTCAAGGGGGAACGGTCAGTTCGTGCGAGAAGGGCGGGCAGTGGCAGCTACGAGGGTCTGTCGGTGCATGCGAGAAGGATGGGCAGAGGCAGCCTGCAGTCAGTGTGACCAGCTCGTGTGAGAAGGATGGGCAGTGGCAGTTTCAGGACGGCACGGGCGATACGTGCAAGAAAGACGGGCAGTAGCAGATGCGAGAAGGAGCTGGCGGTGAACCGGCGCCCATACATGATCAGCTACAGCGCTGACATCAGCGCGGCACCAATATGTCGATGCGGAAAACCCGTCCTGAGATAGCTCAAGTGTGGCTGGCGGACGGAGGCAAGCCGATAGAACCCGACGGCATCAACTAAAGCGCTGGGAGCAGCGCGTGCGAGAAGCTGCAGCGGAAGACGGAGACGCAGAAGAAGCCCAACGTCATCAGCTAGAGCACGAAGAGCCGTGCAGAGACCGTCACCTGCAGCGCGAGGGAGCAGAGCCGAGAGAAGAGTAGAGTGGTTCCCACCACGAGAAGTAGATGGCCAGTCGGGTCGAGCGAACGGCAAAGCGGGAGCTAAATTCCTACTTTGCTGGCTACTCCGACGCGGGAGCGAAGACCAGAGTCGCCAAGGCACCGGCAACACTCGACGAGTGGTTGTACGGCCCTGGCGGGTGCCGCTGGCGTGGGCGCGAGAGTACGGCGTGCACAGGACCACCAGTGTAGGACGAGGTGTTGCGAGGCGCGGAGCCGAGCTGCGAGTCCGCTTGAGAGGGCGCGGGCTGTGCGGCGCGGCGAGCGCGCTGTCCGCCCCGAGCGCGCGCCGCGGGCGCGCCGCGCGGGGGGGCGGGCGCGAAGCTGGTGGTTGGAAATGGCCGAAAGGGCTCCTCCTCCTCCCCCTCCCCCAATGTACACATCTCCCCCTCTTGGGATTGCGCGCGACACGATGGGTTCCTTTTTTGGGTGATCGAGGTTCGCTCTGGCATTTGATGGCGGATAGAGACACAATCGGCGCAATGGGAATGGATGGGGGGGAGGGGTCGGCTGTCCGATGTGGCGCGGGTGCACCTAGCTTGCCCCCTCCTCTCTCCTTGCCTTGTCCCCCCCCCCTCCTCCCCAGGAGCTCCGCGTCCGTCTCCAGGAGGACATCTCTGGCGCGCGGGGCGTCTTCGAGGAGGGCGCCGCGTTGCTTCTCTCCCTCCTCGTCCCCCCTTCCCCCTCCTCCCCCTCATTATCCTCTTCTTCCGTCCGCCTTTATGGCTATGTCAGTGCCCCCTTTCCCATTGTATTCCTCTTTGTCTCGCTTTTAACCCCCTGTTCCTTATGTACCGCACCATCATTTTACTAATTCTCCTCCGTTCAGTCCTACTCTTCATCCCTCCTTCTGCTAGTCCTCCCTGTCGCACGCTGTCGCGCTCCCAGACGTGTCGGTACGGCGGGGAAGGCGTTTCGATTGAGACTCCCTTATCGTTTCTGGTCATGAAGCTTGACATTATCAACAGCTTCGTGGATGGAGGGCGACTCGTTTTCAAAATGTCCGTCTCGCCTTAGCGCCACGCGCATTATTGTTCAAATATTGCAGGAGTTTCAGGGATGGAGGCCGGCTTGTGTTCAAAATTCGGTTCTCGCCTTAGCGACGCACGCATTCGCTGAATAAGTTCTGCAGCAGCTTCAAGGATGGGGCTTTCCGTTTTCAAACTGCGGTTCCCGCTTAAGCTCCGCGCGCGCATTCGTTTTACAAGATTGCAGCAGCTTCAAGGATGGAGGGCGGTTCCTTATCAAACTGATGTTATCACCTTAGCGCCGCGTGCACCAATTAAACAGGAACGCTGCAGCGGCTTGAAGGGGTCTTAGGGCTGAAGTCCCGGGAACGGCCTTCCGACACGAGTTAGGATTGTCAGGACGTATCAAACACGCCAGCTCGCGGCGTTGCAGTCACAGGAACGTTCTGGTACGGGTCAGGATCGGCAGGGCGCAACAATCAGATCTATTCGCGACGTTGAACCACCTGGAATTCTGCATTGGCCCGATCAAGGATTCTCACAGTGTTTGTTGTCTTCCTGTGTGGCACTTTCGCGGTGACGCGTGTATATATATATCATTATATATATGCATATATATATATATATATATATATATATATATATTATATAAAAGAGAGACGGAGAGAGAGAGAGAGAGAGATAAAGAGAGAGGGAGAGAGAGAGAGAGAGAGAGAGAGTAAGGACCTATGAAGAGGGACCTTGGAGGGAGGGTTCATTGCAAAATCGTTGACGCGTCTTGTGTTTACCTGGTCCTCCACCTTCTTCTCCTCACCTCCTCTTTCTCCTCCTCCTCCTCCTCCTACCTGCACTCCTCGATTTTCAGAGTGAGGGGGCCGAACGGTCATTCATTGTCCCTGGGTGCGTGGCTAAAGTGAAAATCCGTGGTGAGGATTCTGCTTGTTCCGTTGAGTTCTCATTTCTGAAGAATAATGATTGTTGATCCCCCCCCACCGGTGCATACTGTTTTTTCTCAATCAAAGTGCCCCTCGACGCTCGCACCTTGTTTTTTGACAGGGGAGATCTTCATGCTCAAACTGGGCCCCTGGCCCCCGGGTTACAACAACAACAACAGCTCCCGCGTGAGACTTCCTAGCAATTTAGCCAGGACACCCGCTCCCGCCCGAGACTTCCTCGTATTTTATTCAGGAATCGCGCTCTCGCTTGGGACGTCCTTACAATTTATTCAGGAATCGCTCTCCCGGCGCTCTGGAATCGCGCTCTCGCTGGAGATTTGCTTGCAAGTTACTGAAGAATGGCCTTGCGTTGGAATTTCCTGCAATTTGCCCAAGCGCCGCGCTCCCGACACCCAGGCACCCAGGAGTCGCGCCCGTTGTGGCCCCATGTGCGTGCCCTTCGTGGCCCCGCAGTCGCCATTTGTGTCCCCCTCACTGTCCTACGTGGCCCAGTTGCCACCCTCAGTGGCCCCATTGTCGCTTTCTGTGGCCCCGCATTATCTGCACTTCATGGCCCCCGCTCGTTCGCGCTCTTCGTGGCCCCATACGCATTCCCTTCGTGTCCCCGCTGTCGCCCTTCGTGGCCTACATCGTGCCCTTCGTGGCCCTGCTGTCGTTCTCTCTCGCTCTCGCTTTCGCTCGTCGTCGCGTCGTCGTCGTCGTCGTCGTCGTCGTCGTCGTCGTCGTCGACGTCGTCGTCGTCGTCGTCGTCGTCGTCGGTCGGTCCCCTGTCCGTCCCTCTTGGGGTCGGGTCGACGGTCCGCGGCCGCCCCGCCGATCAGCGCTGCCGCTGGCCAGGCCGACGGTCCGCGGCCGCCCCGCCGCTTGCCGGGGCCTGGCCTGCAGGGAAGAAAGGTATACCCCCCAAAAGGGGTTCGATCGAAGACGAAGAGGGCGGGTATCGAGGGTTTGGGAAATACGCGTTATTGGACACTCGAGCATATTAAGGGCAACCGGTCTAAAACATAGTATTATTATTATCATTATCGTTATTACTATTAGTATTATTGTTGTTATTATTGTTGTTGTTGTTGTGGTTGTTGTTATTGAATTCTCACTTCTGAAGAATAATTATTGTTGATCCCCCCCGTCCGGTGCACACGGTTTTTTTCCGATTGAAGTGCCCTGTCCGGGGCTCGCACCCTTGTTTTTTATCAGGGAAAATCTTGAGGGTCAAACTGTGTCGTTGGCCCCCGGTTTACAACAACAGCGGCTCCCGCTTGAGACTTCTTCACAATTTAGCCAGGACCCCCGCTCCCGCCCGAGACTTCCTCTTTTTTATTCAGGAATCGCGCTCTCGCTTGGGACGTCCTTACAATTTATTCAGGAATCGCTCTCCCGGCGCTCTGGAGTTGCGCTCTCGCTGGAGACTCGCTTGCAATTTGATGAAGAGTAGCGCCCTTGCGTTGGAATTTCTTATAATTTACTTAAGCGCCGCGCTCCCGACACCCAGGCACCCAGGAGTCGCGCTCACGCTTAGGACTCCCTTACAGATTACCTAGGAATCGGGATTTCGCTGCCTTTCGTGGCCCCGTTGCAGCCCTTCGTGGCCCCCTCGCTTTGTTCCGTGGCCCCGTTGCAGCCCTTCGTGGCCAGGTCGCAGCCTTTCGTGGCCCCGTTGCAGCCCTTCGTGGCCCCCTCGTTGCCCTCCTGTGGCCCCGTTGCATCCCTTCGTGGCCCCCTCGCTGCCCTTCGTGGCCCCATATATGTATGCCCTTCGTGGCCCCCGCTCGTGGCCCCCTCACTGTCCTACGTGGCCCAGTTGCTACCCTCAGTGGTCCCATCGTTCTCTCCTGTGGCCCCGCATTATCTGCCCTTCGTGGCCCCCGCTCGTTCGCGCTCTTCGTGGCCCCATACGCATTCCCTTCGTGTCCCCGCTGTCGCCCTTCGTGGCCTAATTCGTGTCCTTGTTACCCTACTGTCGTTTTCTCTCGCTCTCGCTTTCGCTCGTCGTCGCCGTCGTCCTCGTCGTCGTCGTCGTCGTCGTCGTTGTCGTCGTCGTCGTGGTCGGTCCCTTGTCCGTCCCTCATTGGGGTCGGGTCGACGGTCCACGGCCGCCCCGCCGATCAGCGCTGCCGCTGGCCAGGCCGACGGTCCGAGGCCGACCCGCCGCTTGCCGGGGCCCAGCCTTCAGGAAAGGTATACCCCCCAAAAGGGGTTCGATCGAAGACGAAAAGGGCGGGTATCGAGGGTTTGGGAAATTCGCGTTATTGGACACTCGAACGCCGCCCCGCCGATCAGCGCTGCCGCTGGCCAGGCCGACGGTCCGAGGCCGACCCGCCGCTTGCCGGGGCCCAGCAGATAAGGGCGAACAGTCTCAAAATGATTGTTGTTGTTGCTGCTGTTGTTGCTGCTGCTGTTGCTGTTGCTGTTGCTGCTGTTGTTGCTGTTGCTGTTGCTGTTGCTGTTGTTGTTATTGTTGACGAAACCACTCACTGGCGCTGGCCCCCCCCCCCCCCGCGCAACGCAACGCAACACAACGCACGGTACCCCGAATCCTTTTAGGATTCCAATGGGAATAGTCTCTGCGAACTTTTTAGGAATCGGACAGAAATCCCACAGGAATCCTATAGGGTTTTTTACGAATCCAATGGGAATCCCATGGGAATCTTATAGGACTCATATGGGGCCTTTACGAGTCCTATGGGAATCCCATGGGAATCCAATGGGAATCCTGTAGGGCCTTTGCGAATCCGATAGGAAGCTTGTACGAAACCTATAGGGCCTTTAGGATTCCTATTGGAATCCCATAGGAATCACATGGGAATCCTATAGGGTTTTTCGGATTACTATGGGAATCCCATAGGAATCCTTCGGGAATCCCATAGGGCCTCTACGAAGCCTGTAGGAGTCCTATAGGGCCTCTACGAATCCTATAGGGATCCTACCGGATCCATGTGGGAATCCTAGAGGGCCTCTTACGGATCCTGTAGGAATCCAGATGGAATCCTATAGGAATCCTATAGGGCCTGATTCCTGTAGGGATCCCATAGGAATCCAATGGGTATCTTGCAGGGCCTTTACGAATCCGATAGGAATCCGATAGGAAGCCTGTGAGAAACCTATAGGGCTTGCCCGATTCCTAGAGGAAACCCATAGGAATCCTATAGGGCCTCTACGAACACTATAGGAATCCGATAGGAATCCCATACTCATCCTATAGGGCCTATACGAATCCAGAGGAATCATATAGCAAACCTATAGGAATCCCGTAGGGCCTCTGCGAATCCTATAGGGATCCTACCGGATCCATGTGGGAATCCTAGAGGGCCTCTTACGGATCCTGTAGGAATCCAGATGGAATCCTATAGGAATCCTATAGGGCCTGATTCCTGTAGGGATCCCATAGGAATCCAATGGGTATCTTGCAGGGCCTTTACGAATCCGATAGGAATCCGATAGGAAGCCTGTGAGAAACCTATAGGGCTTGCCCGATTCCTAGAGGAACCCCATAGGAATCCTATAGGGCCTCTACGAACACTATAGGAATCCGATAGGAATCCCATACTCATCCTATAGGGCCTATACGAATCCAGAGGAATCATATAGCAAACCTATAGGAATCCCGTAGGGCCTCTGCGAATCTTCTCGGATTCCTATAGGAGTCTCATCGGATTCTTGTAGGGCTTTTACGAATCCTATAGGACTCCTATAGGAATCTGATAGGAATCCCCGAG